GGTGACATTCTATATTTTCTGATATTGTCAACAAATCCCATGAAAAGGCCAAAATCCCCAATGAATTGTTACTATATTTGAAATTTTTCTTTCTCTTCTTTTTTTCTTTTGGGTTACCTGGCTTCTTAGCCTAACGTTGGTGATCCGGACCAATGAAGAAACAATGAATGAAATGAACAGGCAAATCTTTTGAGTCTGAGTCATGGGTCTGCACTTGTAGGTACTACGTTCAGGAAATCTACAAAGGTACTCGCCCTCTCTCTCCTGGAAGCATTACAACCATTAACAGTGTTATATCTCACTTGAGGAAAGTCACTTGGTGCTATCCAAGGTGGTGATGTGTTTTTTCAAAGATAGGGACAGTAGGCAGAAGAATACAGACGATATTTTATACAATATGATATGATATACAGATCTGGATACAGATGCATAAATTTGTATTGGATCTTTCCAGATACAGGTTATTTTTGTCCAGTGCATGTGACAAGATTTAGCTTGCTTTAAGCAGTGCAGATGGTGACTGACATGTTTTCCCCTCTCTGCTTATACCATATAGCCCATATCCTCAACGCGACCTGACTTGACTCAACTGCTACTGATACTAGCTCTCGTACGAGGCCTGAAAGGTGTGCGACCCCAAAGACTCAAAAAACAGAAAACTTGATAGTTTGATTTTGATGTCTGGATCAGGATACACTCAGGTAACACAGTTGAACTCCCTGGCACCAATTCCTGGTATCATGTAGCTGGTTATCAACTGGCTGAATCCTAATTTATAATAAGGTGTGAGCTTGTCCATTTGAGACAGGTTGACATCAGCTTAGCAGGCAAGACCTTGTCATTGTCTGTCAAGCCGATTGCTCCAGTAGACTGCAAATAGTGGTATGAGTACACTTGCACCAGCAGTTTGGAGGTGTGATGGTGGGAAGGGTTCGAATATCTCTTTCAATCTCTCTTTTTGGTTCCTTCACACAACTACTTCAATTTCTTTTGAAAAACAGGGCGCAATACCATGAATTACTTTGCACCATTGTTCCCATTTGTAGTACATTTCATCGCATCGAGCCAACAAAGACACAAAAAGAGGCAAGGTGCCTCCCTTGATGCTTCCCTTAATTGCATCCACTTTTCCTTCCCTTTCAAGGAGAGATGCAAGAAAAGATGATGGAAGAGGAACTGAGCAAACATGTTTTTTGAGAAATTAGAAACCAGCATCTGAAGAAATGTCAGAGACACGGATCGGTTGTCAGCAGCTCTGTAGTCTTTTGATGCCTTGGAGTTTAAGACTGTGTGATGTAGTGTCTAAATAATAAGAAGTTTGCACAGGTACTGGGGCTAACTTGTTTTATCTCCTTCCACAATCCCAAGCCTCTGCATGCTTCTCCTTAAATTTCAATGATATTATATTATCCAATTAAAATTCTTCTGTTTGGTAATTAATGACTTAATAATCCAGGTTATGATGAGAACATACAGGGACAGATGAATGCTGAAAGTTTTTTTAATGTTTTTTTTAATTAAGTTAATAAAATCCAATAACTTAAACTAGATGGCAAATCAGACACAAATAAAGTCTTAACATAACATAACATAGATTCTAAATAGGATTAACGATAAATATATTTGCATACAAATATACGAGTAACCGCTTAGTCGTTGATATGGACCAGTAACTTTACAATTTGTGCCTAAAATGTACCTTGTTGCTCCTTTAAGCAGGGGCTGGATAGTCGGCTACAACTTTACTGAAAATTTTTCAAGCACAGACCACATGTGAAACACCTCCTTACAGACACACACACAGACACACACACACACAAAGTCGGGCAGTATATTTAATCATTGACATCAGGTAAAACTTCATTGACATTCTGGTACAGTCTGATTCTGTTCCCTCAGTGCACACACCTCCTGAACAGTAGAGGTAGATGTACAGTATATTAAAGTGATGCTCCACCCAAAATCTTTTGATTGCCAAATCTCATGTAGTCTTCCTCCTCACCAACAGCCACTGCATTCAGCTTAAATCAAACTTGGTTCAATGGGGGTAGAGGATGGGTCAGTGGTGACAGATTTTAATGGTGGATTAAAGTATACAGAGTTGATATTTATGTCTCTGACCTCATCACTCCCCAAAAGGACACACTGAGCTCAGCACAGCAGAAATTGGGGAATGACGACAGTAATTCAATTTGCAGATATATCAGTCCACATGGACTCTGAGAGATGGGATGCACAGTATGCAATACCCTTCATTTCTTTATGGTCTGAGTCTTCTTTGTGTTGTGTCGCAGTCATAGTTAAATGTAATCTCCACAGGCAGCCCTTCAAATCACACATACATCCTACCCTATGTCTATATATTGTGAGGTTAGTACTATAATAACTGATAAAGGCTCTCAGTTTCTTTCTGGTTTTGCAAGGGGCATACAGAGATACAGAGGGGCCAAGCAAATCAACCTGGTTGAGAGACTCTTTCTCAGCAGCTGGTTGTGAAGACAATGATGCTGTAATGGAGGTTGGGGTCAGTGTGGATTGAACGGATGAATTCTTCAGTAAGGCTGAGTAGGCTTTTAGTCCAAAAAGGCTACTGCATGAAAATAGAAGTGGAAGTATTGGTGTTGGGGTGTTGTACCAGTAAGAAAATGAAATATGCTCAAGCAAACTTAACCTGTTTGAGTAATTAATCAGTTTGAAGGCTTATTGTATGCTGAAACACTGTTTATAAAGTAGTATATATGTATATTACAGTAAAGACACTGTTCTGTGCTATGTGCCATTGCAACGTAATTTAATTTTGATGCAAATCCAAATGACAAATAAAGTCTGTCTGTCTAACAGTCATTTTAATTTGCGCCTTCACTGGTGAACAGTAGAATTATGCCATTTACAATACAAAGTAATCTACCAGAAATATCTCCGTCTCTCTCCCTCTCTCTCTCTCTCTTTCTAAAGCCATCTGGCCGAGGCAGACAGCCTCATAGAGCTGGGTTCTGCTCAAGGTTTCTGCCCCTTAAAAGGTTTAATCTTGCCAGCGTGCTCATGGTAGGAACTATCTCTATAAATAATCAGTCTAGACTATTTGAAAAGTGTCCCGAGATAGCTTCTATTATGTTTTGGTACTTTACAAATAACACTGAATTGAATTGAAATTATTTGCCTGACCATCTATTACTCCCCGGTCTAGGGGGTAGGAGCGCAACATAAAAGTAAGAAGAAAATAATAACAATTAATAACTTTCCCTTCCCGGTCCCCACAACCAAAAACGAACACGGGTTTAACAAGCAAGTGAATTGTGAAACCAAAAGTGCAACAAAAACCAGCAACAAACAGGAGAAAACAGCACAAAAGAAAATGGCAGTTCACCACTACAACACCCACTATATATTACCATTAGAAGAAATAGAATAATAATCTTTACAACTTGCCACTTGTTGCCAACAACTTTCTTACGACTACACACGCTTTCTCAACGGTCCAAGGACAGAAGGATGCTGTTGCTAGGTTTTCGGTCTTCGACTGCTGCAAGGCCAGATGTTTAAAACGCGGCGGATGTTGCGAATGTCACGGGGGGAACCAACCAGCAGCAGACACTCCACCAGCCGAGCCCATGTACTTAGCCAGTCAGAAAGGAGACCTACAGGTTGCTGTCAAAGATCCCTACAGAGACAGGCTTCACACTCCTGTAGAAAACAGGGACAAAATACAGAGGCACACCACAGAAGAAACAATACAAAAACAATCATACGGCCAGGGCCATCTCAGCATCTTGCAAGATGATATTACAATACGTTGTAGCAAAAGTTGAGCCAGGTTCAACTTTTTTGACGGTAGCTTCTGCATCAGGACCCCCGTTTGCATCAGAATAGTGTTCTCATTGAAATGTTTTTTCACTCAGTGCTAATGCCACTCTAAAAATAACTGATGTCTTGCATCTGGTGTGAACTTGAAGCTTTGAAGCATTTCGGATCAATTTGTCATATTATGTGACTGCCTGTCATCCACTGCAGTACAAACATAAAATGTAAAGACTACACTAACCTCCCTATTGTTATGACAATTGATAAAGCCTGGTACCACACACACACACACACACACACACACACACACACACATGGTTCTGAGTTACACAGCAGAAATGCTTCTCTCAGCATTTATCCCAGCGTAATTAGCTAAGATCTCCTCTCGCCTTGCTCTCTCACCTCTTTACCTCCTCACACTCTCTCTTCCTGTCTCAATCTTTCTTTCACAAGACACATTTTGTACAGCTCCCATCTGATGTCAATCCTCATGGGAGAAATTATTGACTTACTGCTTAATCTTCAGAATTCACTGTGTGGGACCAAAAACATTAGATGATAATTGCAACGTGCGTGTGTGTGTGTTTTTAACAGAAATAATTATTCTCAGTTGCTTTCAGTCAGCCAATGTTTTGAGCTTCATGCTTTTAAGGTTGTCAATTACAGGTCCAGTGTGGAGGATTTAGTGGCATCTAGTGGTATAGTTACAGATCGCAAATCCCTCGCTTCACCCTCCACTTCCAAGCAGTGTTTGGCTGGTCCTTTCTGAGCTTCTGGACTAGATCTGTGAGTGAAACAGGCACTTGATTTATGGTGTAGGCCAGTGTTTCTCAAATGGGGGTACTTTAGAGTACTGCAGGGGGTATGTGAGATTTCAGTCATGCATAATTGCTAAAATAATTAGGTCTACACTATAATAAGTTCAATAAAACAAGTTTGATAAACCACATTTTATATTCAATATTCTGATTTTCAATGCAACTGTTTACCCCTGCAAACTACCAACCATAAAACCTCTGGAAAAGAGTTTGATGACTGCAGTTGCCTCCCAGACACCAGAAGGAATGATCCTCAGTGAAGCACAGGCCCATGTTTCTCATTAAAAGTGCAACAAGCAAGACAAGAACATGCTCACTTGTATAGCTCTTCCAGATTCTTTCTATTTTGTCTATACTGTGCAGATGTACTCCCTGCTGCCATTTTGTTATTGTACATTTAAAAATAGTTCCAAACTAGCTAACTTGCGAACTCTCAGTTAAATTTAACAGCATTGCAACAGTCAGATACTAAAATTTGTATCTTGGTCGGGACAACAAGTTCTCACGGTTTATTCAAAAGATGTATACCAGTGACTTCTATCTCATATTCCTCTTTTGTGGAGTTGACAGAGGAATGAAAGTGGAGTGGAGGAGCAACACAGCCAATAATATTTAGCTGTTCCTTCAAAGGTCAGCGCTGTCAAGAGGCTTGTTGTGAATGAGTTTGTACTGTGGAAATGTACATTATGCTGAATTTACCCCGTGAGCCACTAGAGGTGATTCAATGCCCTCATTGAGTTTTTCCTGACCTTTATTGGTGATTATTATTAATTTGTTTGTCACAGCCTGGCTTTTGTTTAAGAGTTTATGTATTACACAGCACAGAGACATGAAACCGATCTCCCAGCAGCAAGGGCGACTATTTAAAACACCCAGTCGTCCCCACTCAGTTGACCTCACCTAGTTGAACCTGCACGCTACTTATCAATACTTCCCCCCATCACATTTATCAATACTCCTTGCTGCTTGATAACATCATCAGATTCACTGATCGATACCCGCCACTGTTATATCAAATTATAGCTCTTTGTTATCAATACCAAGGACTCTGTGTATTCAATTAGAAAGAAGGGTGAATCAATAGCCGGCAGCTACTGCAGCCAATCCTGAAACTTTATCAATGCCAGCCGCCGTCGTAACAAATGATAACGCAGACAGATCAATAGGTTGTGCAGATGGTAACATCACCTCGCCCGGTTGTTACACCCAGATCAGCAGACAGAGCTGCATGCCGAGAGACTCAGTTTCTAATCCAACTATATCGGTTTAATTTATTTCACTGGATTAAATTACAATAATGTCAAATTAACTGAATTTTGGCACCTGATTTGGTTGTAATTTTCATCTTTTGATGAAAATGTCAATCAATTATGTTGTAGTCACATTTTAACAATTTACAATTTTTTCTAGTTTTCTGTAAAATAATAATCGCACTGACTGGGGCTGAGCAGACAGACTACCAATATTTTGGGAAGTATAAATACTGTCATTCTGAGGTTCCATATGCCGTCATTTTGAAGACCATTATTAAATTGTAAAAGGGTATATGATCTACATGTTCTATTATTACTTCAATAAGAATGATTAAGTCCTAACAGACAACGTATTTAATAACTTTGTATAGTCATAACCAAGCAGTGGTGTCTGGGGATTCAAAACTTGAGGAGTACATGAGGAATAGCAACCCAGGATTATTAAATGTAAAGAGGAGGTATATGATGTAGCTACATCTTCTGTTATTAAATCACTGGGAGTGACTGAGACCCTACAATGTATTTAATAACTTTGTATAATTATAACCAAGTATATGTTATCTTATTCTTACTGTACCAAATATTTTCTGTATGTTATTATTTTTTTTACTTTTTGAACTTTAAAAGTATGAATTATAAAAGTAAACACACACATTTACAACAAATGCTGCAGTGTGACATTGTTCATCTTAGTGGGTTTTGTAACTATAAAACTAAATATTTAAAAAGTATACATGTTACTCCTATTTCAGTTTCAGTTGTGTGGTCATGGTTTCAGTTTACATTGTGTCACATTAGATGCACTAGATGTGATCTGAATCTAAAAAATGCAGAGCTGACAGTTTGTCTTGAGTAACCAGTTACCAAACCCAAGCTGGCATTGAACTCACATACTTTTGCTGGACTCTTTGTTCTTAAGCAGTTGCAGTTAAGGTAAAAAGCATTTCCCTTCACTGTGCTGTGTGGATTAGAAGTGAATAGAAAAGTCAGTACAAACCATTCAGTCCATCCAAGACTTCAAGGTCCAGTGTGTAACATTTAATTCAGTTCAGTTCAATTTTATTTGTATAGTGCCAATTCATGAGAAAAGTTATAATAGAATAGGTCTAGATCGCACTCCTTACAAAATGATTTACAGAGACCCAACAGTTCCCACCATAAGCAAGCACTTGGCGACGATTTAGGAGGATCTATTGGCAGAAATTGAATGTAATATAATATTATTTTTCATTAGTGTATAATCACCTGAAAATAAGAATTGTTTTTATCTACAGAGGCCGTGGGTCACTTTCCGTGTACGCCTCAATGTTGAACCGCCATGTTGAAGCGCAGTTCGCTTCTTCGCATACTTTGCAGCCTCCATAGTTTCTCCCTCGCGTTTGGAAAGAGAGAGTCAAACAACTGCTAGATGCCACTAAATCCCACACACTGGACCTTTCAGTCACAAGCATGATATCTCAACAACTGCTGTCAGACTGAATAGATTTTCTTTAGATATTCACATCCTCAAAATAATGAAACCTTTTGATTTTAAAGACCTCATGACCTTTCCTCAAGCACTATCCTCTGTACAAATCTCATAGTCATTTATATAACAATGAAAACAGAAGTAGAAGTAAAACTAAAAGTGTAGAGCTGTATAGTGAGCGCCGTGGTTTCATTGTTAGATTGGGCAGGTTTTAAATAGGCACATTATGTACACATCTCTTCCTTTTATTATTTAAATCAAAGTCTATCAGCTGATTGGGCCAGTGGACCTTATGTCAGTTTATAACACCCAGTGAAAAGAGAAACTGGAACCCTGGGACAAAGAACAAAGCTCCACCCCTTACCTGACTCACATCACCTGAGACAAACCAAGAAATGCAGATTGTTGTCCTTCCACTGAGGAGAGATACAGACACTGAGAGACATATATTCAAAGCAAAGACAGGACGTCCCCTGGGGGAAAACAGCTACAGGAAGAAACAATATAGTGAGTACTGGAATATTGGAAAGGTGTATGAGAGCTAAAAGGGAAGTCTAAAAGCAAAAGTATTTTCAAATAGTTCTAAAGTGGACAGTGTGTTTTATCTGTGTACCTGCTTTATTTCCATCTTCACTTAGAGAGAATATGGCTTCTCTATTAGAAGAGGATCTGTCCTGTCCTGTCTGCCAGGACATCTTCAAAGATCCTGTTGTCCTGTCATGTAGCCACAGCTTCTGTAAAGACTGTCTGCAGAGTTGGTGGAGAGGGAAGCTAGTATTGGAGTGTCCAGTTTGTAAAGGAACGCCTTTACAGCGTGATCCACCTCGTAACTTGGCACTGAAGAACCTGTGTGAGACGTTCATACTCAAAAGAGATGAGGGAGGTTCAGCAGAGTCTGAGGCTCTCTGCAGTCTGCACTCTGAGAAATTCAAACTCTTTTGCCTGGACCATCAGCAGCCAGTGTGTCTCATCTGCAGAGATTCAAAGACACACAAAAAACACAGATTTATACCCATCATTGAAGCAGCACAGGATCACAGAGAGGAGCTCCAGAAAGTTCTGAAGCCCTTACAGAGGAAGCTGAAGCTCTTTGAACAAGTTAAAGAAAACTGTGATCAAACAGCAGAACACATTAAGGTCCAGGCCGAACACACAGAGAGACAGATTGAGGAACAGTTTATGAAGCTTCACCAGTTTCTACAAGAGGAAGAGGAGGCCAGGATCACTTCACTGAGGGTGGAGGAGTGGAAGAAGAGTCAGATGATGAATGATCAGATTGAGGCTCTGAGCAGAGAGATAGCAGCTCTTTCAGACACAATCAGAGCCACAGAGGAGGAGCTGAGAGCTGAAGACGTCTCATTCCTGCAGAACTACAAGGCTGCAGTTAAAAGAGTCCAGCAGCGCCCCCTGCTGGAGGATCCACAGCTTCCCTCAGGAGCTCTGATAGACGTGCCTAAACACCTGGGCAACCTGACCTTCAACATCTGGAAGAAGATGAAGGAGATGGTCTCCTACACTCCCGTGATTCTGGATCCAAACACTGCTCATCCAGAACTCATCCTGTCTGAAGATCTGACCAGTGTGAGATGTGGAGAAGCACAAAAGCTTCCAGAAAATCCAGAAAGGATTTATTTCTACCCCTCTGTCCTGGGCTCTGAGGGCTTTAATTCAGGGACTCACAGCTGGGATGTTGAGGTTGGAAGCAGTCCGGTCTGGGCAGTGGGAGTGTTAGCGGAGTCTGTCCTGAATAACGTAGACAGACCGTCTGGATTATTCAGAATTGTGTTCTGTGATGGTGAGTTCACAGCGGACTCCAATCCAAATCACCCCACTGTTCTCCCAATAACAAAGAAGTTCCAGAGGATCAGAGTCAAACTGGACTGGAACAGAAAAAAGCTGTCATTCTCTGATGCAGATACTGACACACACATACACACCTTTACACATCCCTTTACTGAGAGGCTGTTTCCATACTTTAACTCTGTAAATACATACCCACTGAAGGTTATCAAACTTCCTGTCTTTGTGGGATTAAGACAGTAGACAGAGAGATGATATGGATGATGATTATGTGAGTGATGATGTGCATATTTTCCTTTTTTTTTTTGTTAAGGCATTTCAGTAATGCTGTTTTAGACGTACAGTGACTTTATCAATGTGAACATGGCCTGGGTTTAGCCTGTCTCACAGCAGCACATTTGACGCAGTTGGTTTGATCTTAGTCTAAAAATAAAAAGTTGGCAGTTGGTCCTGTAAAACCAGTCACCAAACCATATGCTGTTACTGAAAATGTTAACCTTATCTAGTCTGTACAAAGTGAAAGCCTTCCCTTACCTAAACTAGGGTGAACATGCACCCATGAAGTTGCTTTTTTTTTGCTTTTTTATTATAGTTTCGTCCATAATTTTTATCAGTTGTGGGTAACATTTTACGTAGGATCTGAGAAGAGTAAGATGATTGCACATTAAAAAATAATTGTAACATTTTCCTTGTATCTTCCAAATGTTTGGTAAAACTGGGGTTAAACATGACATGGGTTATAAAAATCAACATTTTCTTCTACTTCTTTATTACTCTATATTTTATTCTTTGTTGTATTTTGCATTTCAAAATAGTTATCTATATACAATTAGGTTTACAATCTGATGAAAGGAATCTGTGGTATATTGACAAAATGTAAAATAAATTTTTTAAAACTCTCACACTGTTTCCTTCTGTAGTGGTGCCTAGGAAAATAGTAACCATTTACTGAATAGATCTTGTGGTGAGGTTGTTTTTTGCACTACTTTTTCTAAGGTAGCTGAATGGTTAGAGTACATTAGCCTCACAAGCATCTCATTGTCATTGTTAAATAAAGCCCAAAGAAACAATCTTAAAAACAAAAACACTTTTCATCTGCAGACGAAGGGTGTGTCATTAGACTCAAAGCTCCTAAATGGGCCTCATGGTGTCTATACTATAGTCAGCCACACTTTTTGGTTTGCGTGACACCATAATGTACATGGTAAGCAGCAACATATTGACTGCTGTAAAATCTTTGTAAACTAGTGTTTTGGCAACCCTTCCTGTATCCCATCCATATTCCTAAAGGTCCCTGAGTCTTCCCCACTCTCATAAACAGCTGATATGACTGTTCTTGAACTGCACTCCTGTCTGAATGAATTATGAATGATTTAATTAAATGATAAATTTCATTAGCTCAATAGATTGTATAGATTCAGGATTTTCCTTCCATTATGGTGAGGTCCAGGGATCCAGAAGTAAAAGTTTATTTTCCTGTGACAGTTGGAGCACTTCAAGGCTATGGACACTCTCTCTTTGATTTTAAAAACAGACAGAGGGGAAAGTCTGGGTAGATAAAAACTTGGACTTGCTTTTGTCTTCTGCATTACGTCAAGTGCTGTATGTATACAAATCGTTACACACAGTGTATGGTGTAGTGCAGGTATATGTGATTATTCAATTCCTGCATTGGACTAAGAAACTACTGAGGAAATTCTTAAATCCCTAAGAACAAAGACAGGTTTTTGTTCAAACAAATGTGTGCTGACTGTCTGAACATGGAGCCTTTCATTTCCTGTTCTATTAGCAGTGGAGAATAGTAAGTGGTAGTGACCAAACAAAGGTAGGTGTATCGTCAAGCTTTGTTCTCCTCTCCTTGGCTGCTCGTCCCTGTCAGGTTGCATTATGGGCAGCAGGTTGGCTGTTGAAGGTGACTACAGCCTGCAGAGAGCTTCAAGTTCATTCTGTCAGCTGCTCGGGAGATTTAACCTGCTGCTATAATCACTATCGACATCAACTGCAGCTTCCTCCTTCCTGCTGTGTGCCTGAGTGTGTGAATGGGACAGTTCACACCAATCACAGTACTAGTTCTCCCCGGGGGCATCGCAAGATAAATTTCAGGGTCAGAGATGATTTACAGTGCCAGGTAAAGAAACATTTCTACTGTACAAAGCTTTTTTGACAGTGTCAGTGAATGGAAACCCCCTGTACGGGAACACCAAATGTGTATTAATCTGCTAGTGAAAACAAACAAATGCAATATTTACTCCTGTTTTATAAGTTATTTCCTTATAAAGGTCAGTCTTGAAGCTATATATATTTGAGCCATTTTTAAAGATGTATGTCTTCAGTAGGAACCAATGGGCTGGAGGCTGAAAGCAATATACAGGCAGAAAGTCAGAAAGTAACACATCGTTGGTCTTTTCATGGCATTTTTTGACAAAAAGAAAAATATAGAAAAATGACAGCATTCAAAAAAATAAAAGACAGAAAGGCTCTGCAATGTCTGCGTGAATGTTAGTGTGTAATCTCCAGATATCCAAAACACATGTGTGTCTGCCAAACAGCACTACATCAACGATCACTCTGAAAAAGACCTGAAAAATAAAGCACTTAGCAAACATGGTCATAATTAAATTTAAATGTGATGTTAACTGTGTCAGCCAACAGGCATGTCTTCATATTGGAAATTCCCACAGCACATAAATGCACCACAGCACAACAACAAGTGTCAGATACAGTATGCACACAGAACAGGCTGCAATTGAGTTTTTTAAGCAAATGAGCTAAAGCAAGTAAAAACAGCGGGATGGAGTTTAAACATCATCATAAAAAATGAATGAGTGAAGAAGAGGAAACAGTGAAATCACTGTTCTGTAGCCAAGAGCTCAGCAGCAGCAGATCTAACACAAAAAAATGAGGCTGTGTTAAATATGAAACAACTATATCAGTTTCTCCTCATGCTCTTCAAAAATTATCATGTATTTCTCTCACTACAGATTTTGATCAGTAGTAATCACAAAATGCATACCAAACTGCACTTTCCAGATATTGACATTGTGCTTTACAAGAAAAACACACAAAAAAAAGAAGGAAAAACAGACAGAGAGAATAATATTTAGGAACATAAAGTTTAAACCAAACAATATGATGTCACTCAGTAGGTTGTACACTAAGATGGTTTTTAAAGGTGTGCAATGACTTTGGCTTCTGTCAGATTTTGCTGGAGGCGGCGGCTGCTGCTGAATGAACCGCATTGTTTAGATATAGGCCTACGTAAGTGAAAAAACGACACCGCTTTGAATACCAGGATAAATAATTTTCATGTGCTTTTTGGTAGGTTAGAGCAACTCAGTTGTGGGACTGACAACAATAGAAAAAGTGGCACTAATACAGATTTTCTTTCACGTTATTTCACATGCAATGTCTCTCATGTTGGTATCATTAAATTAATAGAATGAAAAACCTGCAGTATGAAGTCAACAGAATGGAACAGCTCACACCCAGCTGACTAGATTCCAGAGCCCTTGGGACGGGTTAGCTGCACTGCAGGATGAGCTGGAAGCTGACAGTCCCGCTCTCTCGCAGCTCTACAGTCAAACCTGCCTGCTGCTTGATTTGCTCCTGCATTTGAAGATAGGTGGCGGGAGGTGACAGTAATGAATCTAGTGGAGAACAGACTGCAGGATGCATTGCAATCATTTCTGAGCTTTTTTTTTTTCGTCAAGAAAAAATAAAATATAGTGATGTAGCTGTTGGCCAAGCTGTCCTGCGTGGAATAAAATAGCTCGCTTCTGGAAACATTGCAAGTTTTTGAAAATACCTACTACCTGAATGTTACTGCGTGTTTTGATTGATCTGCTGTCAAACGCTCTGCCACTAAGATAAAACAATCTTGTACATGTCACTAGTGTACTTGGGAGGTTGCAAGAAGTGTAGTGCTACTTGCATTGTAAGCCTCCTCTTTTATCTGTGAAGTGCGATAGCCTAGAGGGAGTGTGTGTGTGTGTGTGTGTGTGTGTGTGTGTGTGTGTGTGTGTGTGAGAGAGAGAGAGAGAGAGAGAGAGAGAGAGTCAGGTGAGTAAAACAAACCCTGACAGCAGTAACAGTCTGTAATGGGAACAACCAGAACGACACAGGGGTGGAGTGGAAACGGTGAACCTTTCATTCATTTTGCACTCAGCTTCAGTTTGCTCTCTGAATGCTGCATTTAAAACCCACCTGTTTGAGTCGACATGGGTGTAGGTCTTGTGAGCTTATAGTGTGGCTATAGGGAAAAAGAGATGGAAGTGGCTGGAGAGAAAGCCACTGAATTTTATTTTTACTCAAGTCCAATTAACACTTTTCTATTAATCTGCTATATTTACCATCTGGTTTTGAAAAGTCCTCTACATATAAAGGTTAGCATTAATATACCATGAGCCACAGACACTCACACAAAGCGTTTAACACCACTTGCGTCAAGATGATATGGCTTTTCTTGCACATTGTTTCACCTTTCATTATTCACCTTAAGAGTTAACTGGTAACATAGTCTGGAATTTCAGCAATGTTGTGTTGGTTACAATCCTACATTATAGATTAATGTCAGGGCCATAGGCGTTAATCACTTTACCTTTCAATCCTTTGGAGAGTTGAGTATAGCAGATGGCTCTGAATACCACAATGCCCATGAGTTTCAGCAGCTGTTGTGAGAAGAAGCCAGTCAAAAGTGCGAGTCAGCGCTGTAGTGAAGTGCAGTTTCCAGCAAAACGCAATGCCATAGTTGCCGAATTAATCCAAATTTGACCAAGAACCCAAAAGTTAACTAATTTAGGCTGCAGAGTATGGCTGTGGTCAAAGTTATGTTCATGGTTAGTTTCTTGCGTTTCGCATGCCCATTCATTCTTAAGCCAACTATTCCCCACCACAAGAAAAGTTGAAAAAGCAGCACATTATATTTTATTTGAACCCCCTTCTCACCATAACCCAATTTGACTCCACATTCATTCTTCAAGAGACAAAATCCATCACTTTGTCTCCAACATGCCTGTGGTTCAGCAGTGGAGTCCCTTATCTCTGCAATACACTGTGTTAGTCCCACATCAGCACAGAGCTTCGACTGCCGGGGTCCATCCTACCTTTTTCCTCCGTTTTCCCTCCATCTGAATAAAACATGCCACTGAGTCAATTAAATTTAAAACCAAAGCCAAACAGAAGAATGAAAAAACACCTCCTGGTTGAATCCTTAACCTTGTTGCCTCGCAGTATCCATCTTTTATGTATCACATCTCAGAGTGGGCAGACCACTGACATGTTGCACTGCATTTGTAGACAGTTCTGACAGCGGTAGAAACCTAGAAGCAGTGATGGGAAAAGTACTAATGTGTGGGAAAGTGTTTGACTCTCTGTGAGTGCAAAGTGATTTTTAGGGGCCTGGCAATTACAGACAGTCAATGCAAAGATGCAAACAGACACAAATTCACCCTGGGCTGTGCAAACTGAGGCCCAGATTAAAGTTCATACAAAGATACGAAGAAAAGGAGGAAAGTAGCAAAAGCAAGAGGATTTTCAGTTTTTTAGCTGGTATACAGTGGTCAATGTGTATATTCACCCAATAAATTATGGGATATTCAGACGAAAAGCCTGGTTCCAGACCCCTGAAATCACTCACTTTTATGATGACTTCAGTAAGTCAGATATGTCTGGTGTCGTGCTGAGAAACGTTTAAACAATTAGATCTTTATATTTTCAGTATTTAGGGCATCATATTCCCACAAAGCTATCCCCCCCAAACTACAATGAATAAAAATGTGTTGTTTTATAAAAGTGTTTTATTAAATTATGAGATACTGAATTATGAGGTAATTATGAGGACCTCCCAAAAGTATTCCTAATTTTTATCTTGGCTTACTTTTCTATTCCTGTCAGAAATAGGCTT